ACGCACCAGTAAACAGAGGAGCAGCCCCAGTCCCTCCATGGGACCCAAGGACAGAGTCCCGAATTTACTCTCAGAAGACTTGGGTATGAATCTCAGTTCCGAAACTCCCTGATGGGGTCATCATGGGCACGTTCTGACTGTCTCCAGGCCTCAATTTCCTCCTCTGCAAAATAGGTGTAAGGCACACCTTTCCACCCTGTCCCGTCCTCACAGAGCTGTTGCACAACTCAGAAGAGAAAACGGTAGCATCTCTGTAAGTGGAGTCATGCAGGTGCCTGTTACTTGGCTACTAGCTAAGGACCGCTGTCCGTTTGCTCAGCTGAGGCCTGTGATGGCCCAAAACAGAGTACTGGGAGACGACAGAGGGTCATCCTGGGGCAGGTGGGGAGCATCTCGCAGGTACAAGCACCAGAGGGCATGGACAGAGCCTAGGGGGCTTCTCTAGTCTTGGCCACGCCCGGGTCCCCTTGAGGACGCATCCACCACCCGTCAGAAGAAACAGACCCCTTCCCTGTGTGCGGCTAGGGAGACTAGGGCACAGACAAAAGTCTGCCCTTCCGAGGCCCCAGGGGTCCTATCCCCAAATCCTGGGCAAACACCCCTAACCGTGCCCCTGTGGCACCTTGACACACGCACATGCACATGCACACACACACGTTACTCCCCGCTATGTATAACAGCGTGGGCTACTCAGCCTCAGTGCGGAAAGGACCGGGCAAGTCCAGCCTCCCCAGCTCTGCTTGCCAGCTACTGCAGTCCCGAGGAGGCATCCCTCATACCTGCACCTCAGCCATGACCCGTCCCTGCCCCCTTCTTGGGACTAACAGAGAATCCATCCATTAGCGCCGAAGCAACCCTCCTCCCCCGTCCTGCGGTCCCAGCAAAGCTCTGGCTTGAGCGCGGTGACCCTTCAGTCCCGCAGTCCATGTGACTGGGTGGGCCAGCCCTGGACTCTGGGTTTTCATCCCAGCCCTGCCCACCCCCAGAGGCAGGTCCTCGGGCAATTCGCCTTTCCGCCATGGGCCTCCATTTCTTCCTCTGCGGAACTGGGATAAGGGGCCTGGCTGTGCTTGCCCAGCGGGCACATGGAAGGATCAAACATGATGGGGTGCTCAAAGGAGCCTTCACAGGGAGACATGGGCAGAGCCAAGGAGCACTCCGAGGGAAGGAGGAGCCCAGGGTAGCAGGGTCAGGAGGTGAAGGGATGCGGGGCACATTGGTCCTCCCACAGTTGCAATCGTCACCCCAGCATGGAATTACAGGCGCGTGCCACCATGCCCAGCTGTTTGTTTATTCATTCATGTAGTCATTGTAGAGGTGAGGTCTCGCCAAGTTTTCCAGCCTGTGCCGAACCCCTGGGTTCAGGCAATCCTCTCACCCCCACCTCCCAAAGTGCTGAGATGGCAGGTGTGAGCCCATGCCCACCCGGGTGTCCAAGCTCTCACTGCAGCTCTCTGGGGGACCAAGTGAGACGATGCTTAAGTGCTGGCTCTTAGTGGGCGCTGGGTGAGCAGCAGCTGCCGAGGCCCTGCCGCCCCCGACGCTAACCCGGTGGTCTTCCGCAGGCGGGGGGGGTGGCCGTCCTGGCTGTGGGCATCTGGACCCTGGTGGAGAAGAACGGCTACCTCGGCGTCCTGGCCTCCAGCACCTTCGCCGCCTCCACGTACATCCTCCTCTTCGCGGGCGCCCTCGTCATGGTGACGGGCTTCCTGGGCTTCGGCGCCGTCCTCCGGGAGCAGAAGGGCTGCCTCTCCACGGTGAGTGCCCGTGCTGTGCTCGGTGCCCCCGCCGGGTGCCCGGCCGGGAGAGGAGCCCAGCCCTGCAGGGGGAGGGGGCTGAGGCCGTGGGAGAGCCAGAAAGGGGAGCTGCCGTGGGTCTCACGCTGGCCACATTCTCCAGGGTCTCGGGACCTAAGCCGGGGCAGTCTCAGCAGCGGGACCGGCAGCGCCGCACCTTCTCGTCCCTCAGCCCCATCTCCCTCGCCATCTCCATCTTTGTCTCCTCGTCTCTGTCTCTGTCTCCGTCTCCTCCTTCCTCCTCCTCCTCTTCCTCTCCTTCCTCTTCTGGAAATTTTCCAAGATAGGCAAAAGCCAAAAGAGTGTTAGAAGGAGGCTGCACCTTATCACCCGGGGTTCAACAGCTGCCACCTGATCATAGCTGATCAGGTTTGTCGGCACCCTCCCCTGCATCCTGCCCCCTTTCTCACCCCCGTGTGACTTTGAAGAATCCCAGACATCGTGTCATCTGTAAATATTGCCGGGTGTACCCCTACAACTTCAGGAGCCCCCTTTGGAAAACATAATTTTGCCATGATCACATCTAAAAACAAATAACAGCCGTTCCTTAATATCAGGAAATAACCAGGCAGTTTCAGAGCTCCCCAAAGGACCCATAAACTGTTCTCTCTCTCTCTCTTTTTTGCAAGTTTTTTTGTCAGAATCTAAATTAGGTCCATGTGTTAAAATTGGTGATTTGTCTCTGAAGTCTCTTTTAGATTCTAAGCTCTATCATCAGTCAGTCAGAGTCTCAGTCTCTCTCTCTCTCTCTCTCTCTCTCTCTCCTCTTGCAATTTATTTGTGGAGCCAGGCCACTTACCCTGTAGTCTTTTGCAGTCTGGACTTCCTGGTTCCATCCCCGTGGTGTTTTTTGTCTAACACGTTTGCCTGGTGGTTGGATCTGGAAGCTGGATCGGCTCTAACTGATGTGGTTGTTCTGGAGAGTATTTCCCGGCTGGTGTTGCAGGCGCCATCGGCTCCTTGCCAGTCTCCTACTTGGGAAGAAGATCACAGCTGCTCAGAGCGGCAAGAGAGAAGGCTGGGGTGGAGCCCGCAGGGCCAGAGGCCTGGAGTCCAACTCAGGACTCAGCAGACCCCAACTTGCCTCATTGGCAGAGGCAGGCTTCCTGGTGCCTGGGGGCCCCTCCCCACCCCGCAGCCCCTCCTGAGGGCCAAAACCAGGTGTGGGAAGAGGAGAAGAGCCTGGAGGAGGCCTCCAAACATCCAGACTAGCGAGGAAGCCTCAGGCAGAACCAGCCCAGTCTAGAAGAGCAAGGCTGAGCCCAAAAGGAATCAGCAGCAGGAAAAAGCCTCAAAAGACCCCTGTGTCCCCCTTCTGCTGCTTTCCGGGGCCCACCATAGACTGGGCAGGGTCTGCAAGAGCCGAGGGCCGTCCCCTGATGCCTCTCGCCAGCCGCGGCCTGGTTTCTAGCCCTGGATACAAACCCCCTGCCTGGTCCGAGCCCAGTGAGCAGCTCTTCCTCACTGTCAAGAGAAGGGTAGCCCAGGGCAGGGTGCCGGCAGGATGGATGTGATGAGCCTGCAGGGTGAAGGCCCCAGAGCCTGAGCTGTGAGCTCTTTTCCAGATGCAGGGACGGGGACGGGGACGGATGTGCTGGGAGCCAGCCACACCCCCACCCGGCCTGCCTGCGCGGGGCCTAGAGTGGCAGTGGCCAATTGTGCCCTGTGGGGTCAGTCACCTGAGGTCCTTGAGAGTCTGACCAATGTGGCCTGACATGGCGTGACGGGACCGGGGGACGCTTCCTCTGTACAGCTCTGCCCAGCCCTTATGGGGCCTGAGGCCTGTAGGAGCCGTGCTGTTGGGCCGAAAACCCCTCTCCTCTGCAGTGTCAGTGAGCTCATCTGTGTCCTGTCCGCTCTGCCCCCTTGGCACCTGGGGCCTTCAGCTTGGCCTTGGGTTTCAGGCAGAGCCTCTGGCCCCTCTCACCTGAGGTCTGCCCACCACAGGCTCCCCGGCCGTGTGCTCCAGCTTCCTCTGGGTCATCCTGGACAGCCCAAGAGGAAGGCAGAAGACCTTGGGGGTCCGCCTTCTGACCCAGAGCCATCTATCTTGGTTCCAAGGAGCCCCTAAAGGCCGGTGGTCCCTGGAAACAGCCGCCTGCATTTCCCCCAGGGCCTGATTAGAACACAGATGTCCTCCGCTGGCCGAGGGCCGTCCACCCTCTCTTTGAGCCCACAACCTGCAGAGTCCTGGTAATCTGAACTTGCGGTGCCAGGCTCGCTCTCAGCACTCAGGCATCGACGCAGCCCTCACCCCACCCCGAGAGGGGCTTCCTCTTACTATGTGCATTGACAGGGAGAAGCCATGGGTAAGGCAGGTGACATAATTTTTCTAGTTACACTGCGGGTCGTGTTCTTTGAGGTGATGCTCAGTCAGGTGTGGCCACAAGAGGGGGCAGAGGAGAGGCCCAGGAAGACGGAATCTAATGTACTCCTGGGTCCTAGCCAGGGTTCCTGTACACCCCGTCAAGAGGGGGCACACGGGAGGTGTGCCACAGCCTGGGCTCCGCCAAGCAGGTGGGTGCAGAGAGTAGGCGAGGGCCTTCTCTTGGGGTCAGGGTGAAGCATGCAAGGAAAGGCAGGCGTGGATTCCGCTGGTGCATTTGTTACTAGGTCACGGCCAAGGGCGGGTAGCAAGGGGAATTCGTGGCAGGGGCCACCAGCCCCATCACACCTGTGTACCTGGTTGCTCGGGTGGCGTGCCCATAGCCTGCGTGTGGGGATGCCATCAGCAGGGAAATGGGAAGTTTTAAAACGTGCAGTACACACTGGCAGGGAGTGGCATGTGGCTGACTCCGAAGCCCGTGCTCTGATCTAGCACACTCAGCTGTGTCCAGGTCTTCACCCCACTTTCCAGATGAGGAAGCTGGGCTCGGATGTGGCATCAGTGAGGGCTGGCTCCGGACTGTGGTTTCCAGTCGGTGGGAGTCACCTCCGAGAGTCATCTTTCCCCGGGGGAGGCCAGGCCCGACGGAGGGCAGAGGGACAGGAAGTTGACGGGGAGGGTATGGACAGGGACACACCCTGCTCTCCATCGTGGGTCTGTGCAGAGGAATGGCTCTCAGAGATCTGGCTGGTCCCAAGAGAGGGCTCCCTGCAGCCCAGCCTAGCACCCCAAGGCAGGAGACCAGGGACATGGTGGTAGCACCCCCTAGAAGCCTCCAGTGTCCCAGCGCCTCCTGGCTCCCATCGTGGTAAGGAAAAAACAGCACACACAAGTCCACACAGTCGGCTCAGAAAGAACCTGGAGCGTCACAGAGTCTGATCCTCTACCCAAGGGCTACAGGCTGAGGGACACCCAGGCGTTGCGGGGGACATGCAGAATCCCTGCTGCTTTTGGAGAACGGTGTGATCCTGGGGCTCGTCCCCTTGCGGTCTCACAGGCCAAAGGAAAGCCTGAGGTTGAGTGCCTGACCGCACTCCGCTCTCCAAGCCACCAAGCCACCGATCCCAGCCACCGCTCCACACTCCTCTTACCCGGTCCATTCACAAGATCTGTCCGGCCGTCCAGGCTGATCCGTGAAGCACAGATGTTTCCCCGTTCCCCAGTCATAAGCTGACTGCCTCTTCCTCTGGAAGGCCTGCCCAAAGGGGACCTAGCCCTGTGCCAGGGCTATGTGGGAGACATGTGGAGACTTGGTAGAGGCCACGGCCTTATGCCAGCCTAAAAGGCTTGGGGGGGCACTTCCCCTGTCCTCCTGAGCTTTCTCAACCGATAAAGGGAGCCTTGTCGTCCGTCTGGTGTTTGAGGCAGGGCAGGGGCACAGTGGCTGCAAGATACCTTCCTCCTCAGATCCACTCTACCCCGTTCTCAGAGACCTGCCTGCATTTGCTTCTGTCCCACACAGAACTGGTGATGTCGCTGGCTCGAGTCACTAAGCAGACACATCGGGGAGGTGACAGCTTGAAGCTAAACTCAGAAAAAAGGGTGCATGCACACAGATGCACACAAACCCAGGTACCAGTACAGGACTTCAGGGACAGGTATCTCTGCCAGGGAGCTAGCAGACCTGCAAACCTCAGAGAGGGGCCTAGAACCTTCTCTGCCCCTCTCCGAAAGAACAGTGGCCGAACTGGCCCAAGGACAGAACACGAGGTGAAGCAGAGGATCTTGGGTAATTCGTTCAAACCAAGAGGATGGCTGCAAAACTTTCCTTGGGCTAACAGAAGTAAGAATTTTAAAACCCAGGCTCCCATCTAAAGTCAAGCAGTGTGGTTAAGGCAGCATAAAAGCGTTCTCTGGTTCCCAGCAGTTCCTTCCTGGCTTCGTTTCATTTTTTCCCCTCCGGGTCTAACTTCCTCTTGAAATCTTGAATTGAATAAAACAAACAACAACAGATGCTGGCAAGGATGTGGAGAAAAGGGAACCACTTCTACACTGTGGCGGGAATGCCAAGTGTTCAACCGCTATGGAAAACAGCGTGGCGATTCCTAAAAAACTAGAAACTGACCTTCTGTATGACCTAGCAGTCCCCCTTCTGGGAATATACCCTGAGGAACTTAAATTACAAAAGAGATATCTGCACATGCATGTTTATTGCAGCACTATTCACAATAGCCAAAGCATGGAACCAGCCGTGCTACCCATCGAAACTGGACCGGATGAAAAAATGGACATATCCATGATGGAATTTTAGACAGCTATAAAGAAGGACAAAATTGTGGACTTTGCAGCAACTTGGATGGACTCGAGTCTGTAATACTGAGTGGTCTGTCACAGAAACAAAGAACAGAGTACCACCTGCTCTCACTTGTCAGCAGACCCTGATCACAAGGCCATAAGAAAGGGTTTGGCCGTAGTGGAACGCTGCCAGGGGAGGGAGAGGTGACACAACACTAATAAGAGTACCTGACCTCAAACCAGATGAAGTAAGGACCAAAGGGAGGCCCAAACTTTATGAGGACCACTGTACGCCTAATTCTGAATTGTACCCCACATCTTTAAGATAAAAAAGGAACCCAAAATAAATTTTTTTAAAAATTTTTCAACTTTTTGGGGGCACAATTGAAAAACAGATGCATTGTGAAGTGGGATGGGGAAGAAAAAAGAAAGCTTGAATCAGCTGAAGGCTGAGGGGTGCTCCAGAGTAAGGCTAGCACTAGACAAAGTGGCCCCCAGGAGGAAGGACAGAGGTGAAAGCCTGGGCAGCTGAACGACGTGTGCACATCCACGGTGATCAGGCGGAGGAGGAGGACTGACATCGGACATTCTCAGCGAGCTGCCCAGAGAGGGACCGTCCGGCCCACACCCGGCGCGTCGTCTGTCCTGGCGCGAACCTTCCTCCCAGCACATCTGCAGCCCCTCCAAGTCACTTTCCCCAGAGAGAAGTGCTCGTCGGGGACAGGAATAGCAGGCACATCTTTGCCGGGACTGAAATGATGATCAGTTCGGCATTGGAAATCCGCAGAGGGAGAAAGGGACTGGGGCTTAAATTATTCACACCAGATCTTCTTTTTAAGCGAAGGCTGCATGAGAGAGAGAGAGAATTCAGGCCATCTGAGCCTAAGGCCGATGACCAGGACAGATGCCACCTAGATCAAAAGAGAGGGATATTTTTAGAGTTTTGAATATGGGCTCTGAAAACTTTTACATCTCCAGCCAAATGAGGATCGTGATGGATAGCTCAAACTAAGCCAGGTCTTTATCGGGGGCTCTTTTATATTTCGGGGGTGGATTAAAAGTAAGTTCTAGAAGGCTGGGCGCCGTGGCCCACGCCTGTAATCCTAGCACTTTGGGAGGCCCGGGTGAGAGGATGACTTGAGCCCAAGCGTTCCAGACCAGCCTGGGCAACGAAGCAAGACCTCGGCTCTACAAAAAAATGAAAAAATCAGCCGGGCGTGGTGGCCCATGCCCGTATTCCCAGCTACTCAGGAGACTGAAACAGAAGGATCACCTGAGCCCAGGGGTTGAGGCAGTGGTGAGCCATGGTTGTGTCACCGCGCCCCAGCCTGGGTGACAAAGCGAAATCCTGTTTAAAAAAAAAAGTTCTGCTTAAGGCCATTGCTCCTGTGCCCTGCAGCCTGGGCTGGGTCACATGCTCTAAAGAAGCGGGTGCCAGTGGGAAGCTTGGAGGGAGCCCAGTCCCCATGCCCGAGAGCTGGTTGGTGCCCTCCCAGGGCATATTCTTCACCCACGAGTTGCTTTACGTTGCTCCACCAGCCACCCAGGCCCAGGGTAGACATCGCCGTGTCTGGTGGGATTTTAACCTTGGAGTCAGCCACCCCCACGCACCCTTCAGCCAGGGCTTTGAGAAGCCCAAACCGCTCTCCAGCGTGACATGTGCAGTGGAGGCAGGGGGATGGATGAAATGACCTCTGAGGCCTGAAGTCCCTTGGAGAAGCTGGTTACAGCTGTCCCCCAGTGCCAGCCGTACGGTGGCAGCCCAGGAGACCCGTAGGGTCTGTGTTGGCTTCACTCCTAGCCTTCAGTGGGCGCACCGATCTCCACTGCCTCCCCAGCATTTTCCCAGCCAGGTAACTTCCACTCCCTCCCTCCGGTCGTCTGCAGCTGATGCCATCACGCATTGATCGGGCTGCCTTATCCATCGACCTCACAAGCACTTCCAGCACATTCCCAGCAGTCCTGATCCTCCAGGCACAGGCCAGGTGAAAAGGGAATAAGGAAAAAGGGACTATGACCCAGTTCCAGGCTTGGCGTCTGGTGGGGAGTACAAGGTGCCTGTATTTTAAAGGTAAAGGGGCCGAGTGTGGTGGCTCACACTGTAACCTCAGCACTTTGGGAGGTAGAGGTGGGAGAATCGCTTGAGCCCAGGAGTCTGAGACCAGCCTGGGCAATGTAGCGGGACCTCGTCTCTACAAAAAATGCCAAGAAATCAGCTGGGCATGGTCGTGTGAGCTCAAGAGGGCGAGGCTACAGTGAGCCAGGATTGTGCCGCTGCACTCCAGCCTGGGCAACAGAGTGAGACCCCAACTCAGAATATTAAGGGTAGGAATTCGTGTCTGGATTCGGTCAGAGGAATTGATCTCTCTGAGTCCCAGGACTTTTCCTGACCCCTAGGCTGCCCTGTCCCCTGCTCCCCGGCATCTGCTCACTCTTGTTTCTGGAATTCTTCCCTTTCCCCTCATAGCCCACCTTGTCCTAGAATTAAGGGCCACTGCTATGGACCCATCACCAGCCCCATCCTTTGTGCTCCCCTCACACCCCGCAGTTTTTTCTGTCCCACCTGTGGACACCGCCCATGAGAAGACAGCCAATAGGCACGTCCCTCTGGGAGGCTGGGAGGAGGCGGAAGTTGGTTGCCTCCCCCATGCCTGGATCCATCAGGCCGTAGCATGCTCTGAGTCCCCTGGGCCGTGTCTCCCAGGGGGAGGCTGGCCTCGTCCCCCCAGCCAGCCGACCAGGCCCAGCTGCCCCCCAAGGGTCCTGCTCTTGTCCAGCCCGTTCAGGCTCAGCTTTCACTGTCATGGTCCGAGTACCACTCGGCTGCTCACTCTTGAGACCGATAAATCAAGGGGCAGGGAACTGGTAGAGGTTTATTTCTGAGTTCGAATCCAGGGAGCAGAGCCGGACTCGAGGTCTTTCTAAAGTGGTTCTGCTTCCCCTTCGGGCCTTACAGCCCACTTTTAGAGTCCAGAGTTGTCGGGACCTGTAAATTAGCCACGTGACCGGCAGAGCTTGGCATAGGACTTAAGTGACAGCTGCATTTTACATGTAGATAGTGACATTTAGAGTAAAGGAATTTGACCATGCATTCCGAAAGTTGCACAAGTCACAAGGCTAACGATGACATTGATGCAAAAGTTATACCAGTCACAAGACTTAGGATTACACTGATGCTATATCGTTCAAACCTGTGATACTACGAAGGGAAGGAAATAGGAACCACGTCTTTGCGCATAGTCTGCAGGGAAGTCAAGGATCCCCTGAGCTGCTGACTGGGAGTGCCCTTCTCCAGGGGCTGTGGCAATATGAACAGACATGAGCAGGTCTCTGTGTCACCAGTAGTCCCCCTGGAAGCCTAGTGACACCTGTCTTTGGCTTGTATTTCTGGAACTGCGTTTTCCTTCTGTGACCTCCCAACACACACAATGTGAGCCCCAACATTTGGGCTGGGACTCTGGTTGGCCTTGGCCACATTTTCCTTTTTATTTGACTTATTTTTAAAACTTTTTTTGAATCAGGGTCTCACTCTGTCGCCCAGGCTGGAATGCAGTGGCACTGATCATGGCTCACTGCAACCTCGACCTCCTGGGCTCAGGCGGTCCTTCAGCCTCAGCCTTTTAAATAGTTAGGATTGCCTAGGCTGGTCTCAAACTCCTGGGCTCAAGCAATCCTCCCTCCTAGGCCTCCCAAAGTGCACATTTTCTTGATGTGCCTCTGGAAAACTTCCTGCCTCCCCGAGACGCAATGTGTTCCCTCCCTGTCTCTTCCAGTTGCCCTTACTCGGCCCATCAGCTCTCCTCGCCCGGCCCTAGCCCCTGTCTCTGCTCCCAGCCCCTCTGGCCAGCTTCAGACACTGGCCAGAGCACATCCCCACTCCCAGGCCGAGTGTCTCATTCCCCACCTCCAGCGTGGCTGCAGCTGGGCGGCCCAGGCTGAGCCCTGGGCTGGGGCCAGGAAGGCCGGAGGTCACCTTCAACTTTCCAGCAGTGACATCTCGTTACAGGAATGGCTCGAGGCTCCCAAATCCACATCCTCCCTTTCTGCACAAACAGCCGGGGCAGCTGTGCCTCTGAGCCGACTGCCTCCTGTCCGTGGTTAATTGCTAGAAAATAATTTGCCCTGAGGTCATGGCCGCTTAAACAGCTGGCTTGTCTTTGCCTGCTTGGCCGGTGCTCTGAGCTCCCTGACCCTCCCTCCGTGCCTCTGTAATCCTCTCACACGCAGCCAGCTGGGAGCCTGGGGTCGGGCTCGTCTCCCTGAAACTGAACCGTGGCCACGTCCGGAGGCTCCCCTTTGACTGCTGCCACGGAGAAGAGGCCAGTCCCCACCCGTCCCCAGCTGCCTGGAGCCAAGCCTCGAATGTCGGGCTGCAACTGGGATGGAAGCTTTGTGAGCCCAGTCTTTCTCACACAGAGTGGTTGCACAGATAGAAGAGGACGCCTCGGGGAAGCTCCCTGCCTTGTGGCGGAACCAGTCCCATGGAGAAATTCTGAAATTCCGGTTATATAAGGTTTTTCCAGCTTCCCTCAAAGACAGCAACAGCTGATTCTGACCTTCCTATCTCTTTGGACTCGTAAAGCTGCCCCAGAAACTCCGTCTGGGGCTCTGTGCGCCCCCATGAGGCGTAAGGTCCATCCAGAGACTCCATGTCTAATGACTCGCCTTCATGTCACAAGGAGACACGTTTCCGCAGGTTTCCTGCACAGCCTCTCATCAAAGAAAGCGTGGGTTTGATGCGGAGAGTGCTGTACTGGTCCAGCCACACCGTGGATCTGAGTTTTAGAAAGAACCCTACGTTGCTTCTAGTTCAGACTCCCATTAAAGAATTAGTGGAGGCCGGGCTCGGTGGCTCAGCCTGTCATCCCAGCACTTTGGGAGGCCGAGGCGAGTGGATTGCCTGAGCCCATGGGTTTGAGACCCACCCGGGCAACTCGGCGAGACTTCGTCTCTACAACAAATTAAAAAAAAACTAGGTCAGTCCCTGCTGCCGCCGCTGGCCACCAGCCACACCTATGCCAGCAGCTCTGGTGCCACCTTGGGTCGGCGTCTCCGGGGGCGGGAGCAAGGCGTGGATGGGTGCAGCGGGGACGCCCAAGCGCTGTTGCGGCTCGGCTCGGGCGCGGGTGGCAGCGCCTCCACTTCTCCATGGGGCTGGCCCGTGGCACCCGGGTGCCCTGAGAACATTTCCACTGCCGTTCCATGGATTCACGGAGCAGGGTTTGGAATTCCTGGAGAACTGCCTTTGTGAGAAGTTGGAAATATTTATGTCAATTCCATCTCTTAGTTTTCCATAGGAACATCAAGAAACCATGAACAACTTTAGTAATTAAGAGTTTGACTGCCACTTCCTTGAAGGTTTTACTGCCAAGGACACTCTGGACCAAAAAATTAATGAAGTTTCTTCTGATGATAAAGATGCCTTCTATGTTGCAGACCTTGGAGACATTCTAAAGAAAAATCTGAGATTTTAAAAGCTCTTCCTCGTGTCATCCCCTTTTATGTAGTCAAATGTAATGATAGCAGAGCCATTGTGAAGACCCGTGTTGCTATCGGGACGGGATTTGACTGTGCTAGCAAGACTGAAATACAATTGATACAGTCTTGGGGTGCTTCCAGAGAGGATTATCTATGCAAATCCTTGTAAACAAGTGTCTCAAATTAAGTATGCTGCCAGTAATGGAGTCCAGATGATGACTTTTGATAGTGAAGTTGAGTTGATCAAAGTTGCCAGAGCACATCCAAATGCAAGTTGGTTTTGCGGATTGCCACTGATGATTCCAAGGCAGTCTGTCGCCTCAGTGTTCAATTTGGTGCCACACTCAAAACCAGCAGGCTTCTTTTGGAATGGGCAAAAGAGCTAAATATGGATGTCGTTGGTGTCAGCTTCCACGTAGGAAGTGGCTGCACTGATTCCGAGACCTCCGTTCAGGCCGTCTCTGATGCCCGTTGTGTCTTTGACATGGGGGCTGAAGTTGGTTTCAGCATGTATCTGCTTGATATTGGTGGTGGCTTTCTTGGATCTGAGGATGTGAAGCTTAAATCTGAAGAGATCACCCGTGTAATCAACCCAGCATTGGACAAGTATTTTCCATCAGACTCTGGAGTGGCAATTATAGCTGAGCCAGGCAGCTACTATGTTGCATCAGCTTTCACTCTTGCAGTCAGCATCATTGCCACAAAAATCATATTAAAGGAACAGACAGGCTCTGATGATGATGAATTGAGTGAACAGACCTTTATGTATTATGTGAATGGCGGAGTATATGGATCATTTAATTGCATCCTGTATGATCATGCACATGTCAAGCCCCTCTGCAGAAGAGGCCTAAACCAGATGAGAAGTAGTACTCGTCCAGTATATGGGGACCAACGTGTGATGGCCTTGATCGGATTGCAGAGCGCTGTGACCTGCCTGGAGTGCACGTCGACGACTGGATGATCTTGGAGAACACGGGCGCTTACACTGTTGCTGCTGCTTCTACTTTCAATGGATTCCAGAGGCCAACCATCTACTACGTGATGTCACGACCAATGTGGCAACTCATGCAGCACATCCAGAACCCCGACTTCCCACCTGAGGTAGAGGAACAGGACGTCAGCACCCTGCCTGTGTCTTGTGCTTGGGAAAGCGGAATGAAGCATCACCCAGCGACTGGAGCTTCAGCTAGTATTCATGTGTAGATAATCACCCTTGTAGCTGCTAACTGCAAGTTCAGCTTGAATTAAGGGTTTTGGGGGGACCACTTAACTTAGTTACCACTCATTTTGAAATGTCTTTGTAACAGTGGGGTTGGTGTAGATGCAGCAATATGGAAGACTAGGAGATGGGGTCACACTTATCTGTGTTCCTATGGAAACTATTAGAATATTTGTTTTATATGGATTTTTATTCACTTTTCAGACATGCTACTACAGAGTGCCCCCCAGCTGCTGAGCAAGCATTTGTAGCTTGTACAGTGGCAGAATGGGCCAAAAGCTTAGTGTTGTGACCTGTTTTTAAAATAAAGCATCTTGAAATTAAAAAAAAAACTAGCTGGGTGTGGGAGCGTGAGCCTGTAGTTCCGGCTACTTAGAAGGCTGAGGCGGAAGGATCGCAGGAGCCCAGCAGGTCGAGGCTGCGGTGGTTGGGAGCGTGCCACTGCACTCCAGCCTGGGTGACGGAGTGAGACTCCAACTCAAAAAAAACAAAATTAGTGGGGAAAAAAGCCACTTGGGGAGGAGGGGAGGATTATCATTTGGGTCCAAACTATGTTCCTTTATGGCTGGCCCTGGTTTTGCATACCTTGAGATGCGGTGGTTCTTACAGAGATCCTCTGGAGCAGATGCTTCAAGAGCTTTCTTTGGAATTCTTATGAGCCGTTTCCATCAGACCAGGCCACAGGCGGTCACTTCTGGAAGGACCGGGCAGCCCTGAGTTCGCAGGGGTAGACCAGTCACAGCAATCAGAGGGAGCTGGAGGTCGGGCTGGAGGTTGGTGGGGCCAGTTCAGTTCCCAGCACGATGCACAGGGATGGGAAGGCAGGACGAGGTGCAGGTCAGAGCCAGGAGGCCAAGCAGGCCGGAGCCCTGGGGAGCCAGACGAGGGGTGAGGCCCCAGGGTCCCACACAGGTTCAGACCTGAGGATGTTAGCACACACTCACGGCTCCAGAATCTGCTGGTCCAGGGGGCCTTCATGGAGGCCACGCCTGAGTGGAGTGCTGGTGGATGAGAAGAAACAGAACACAGATGGTGTCAGGGCAGGGACTTCCAGGCAGGAGGACCCGCGAGCTGGGCATGGGTTCTGTGTGCATGCACAGGGATTTTTCACACACAGTTACTAGCTTCTGAGATAGTAGATCGGGCTGAGTCAAGGGAAGGGTAGAGGGGGCAGAGACAGGCATTAGAGCCCATGGCCGTGAACCCAGGGTGAGCCCAGGTGAAAAGGCAAGCAGAAGACGCTTTTGCACCATGGCTGGCAGGGAGGAGGGCGGCCCCCCGGGGACAGACCACCTGGAGCACCGCCAGCCCGCCCCACTGGTGCCCAGGACGGCTGGCAGGAATTGAGCTCTGTGGGCTCCTTATGAGCCTGGGGAGCACGGCCCTTTCCCTCTATCCTCACTCACTCGTTCCTCGCCTCTCCCGACACATCCCCATCCACCTGCAGCTCGCCTGCTGAATCCACCCCACGTGAGCCCAGAGAGCTCACCCATCCCTCCGCCCCCACCGGCCGTTGAGCAGGACAGGACCACACGGTGGGTCCGAGCACGGGCTCGGCAGCCGGAATTCCTGGGTTGCACCGTGTGGCTGCCGTGTGAGCTCAGACAAGACGCGTAGCTTCTCCCAGCACGTGTCCTCATGTGCAGAACGAGGCCGGTGCCCCTGCCCACGTGGCAGCGTGATGAGTAACACTAGTACTCATCTCCGAGGGCGGGTAGAGAGATCAGGCAGAGTGCTTCAAGAGTGGGGGGCTGGCACCTGGGCACGCTCAGATGTGTTGGCTGTCACTCTCACGGAGCACCAGCACGTGCCAGGCTGCGCCTGGTGCTCTGGGGCCACCCATGGGAAGGAGGCGCCAGCCCCGCCACGGAAGGGCAGCCATCTCCTTCTGATGGAGGGCGTGCCTTTCTGTCTTTCCACCCCTCACGCCCTCTGCCCCTCTCCACCGGGCTCCAAGAAGCAAGGCCAGGACCCCTGAGCCGGGTTATTGCCTCCTGAGCCGTAGCTGGCAATTCTGGCACCCCTGAAGAGGGTGGTGGCCTCTGGTTGGTGGAATGTGACCAGCACAGTTAGCCAGGAGCAGAGGAGAGGCATGGGGTCCAGTAAACACTAACGTGGAAATGCAACCCGTCCAAACGACACTCAGGGTGCCTGAGAATCACTTATGATTGGCTTTTGTCTGACAATTCAATAAACAGTACTAGCCGGGCTCGGTGGCTCAGCCTGTAATCCCGCGCCTTTGGGAGACAAGCTGAGGTGGGTGGATTGCCTGAGCCCGCAGGTTCGAGACCCGCCTGGGCAACTTGGTGAGACCTCGTCTCCACAATAAATTTTTAAAAAGATAGCTGGGCACGGTAGCGCGCGCCTGTAGTTCCAGCGACTTGGAAGATTGAGGCAGAAGGTTCGCCAGAGCCCAGCAGGTTGACGCTGGGGTGACTGTGAGCGTGCCACTGTACTCCAGCCTGGGTGACAGAGTGAGACTCTGACTCAAAAAAAAA